ATCCCAATCATGTTATGTTAATCAGCAGCAGAAAAATGTGAAGATAACATTGTTAATCATTGCTGGTCTTAAGTAGCTTACCTTTGTGCATTTTGGTGTGTTTTCTAATGTCAGCAAACCGTGACAGCTGACTTTGAGATCTCTGAGTGACATGATCACTGAGTTACTGTCAGTTCATAACATAAAAGGTTGTTTTAGGAAAAGTTTGAAGTATGTTGTAACAGCCTAGGGTTTGTCAGGGAGAGCTTTCTTGCCCTCCAGTTGTTTGTCGAATGGTATTGGCATCAGGTGTCCCCCGTGGAGTGTGGCTCTCAAAGGTGCGCCTTTGTTTCAGAGGCGACGGGATGTGCAGGTGGGATTTGGGGGGGGGAGGAAGCTAGCCCACTTAGCTCTTTTTCTTCCCAGTTTAAAAAAATTCATCTTGTGCTAAGGCTGCTCTGATAATTTCTAAGTCCTCGTGCTGCTGGAGGTATGGAGGTAATCATTCACAACCTTTCCTCTTACAAAGCTGAATGGTAAATTCATTAATCCTCTTGTTTGTGGGAACAGTCAGTTGAAATGCTTGTGCATGGGGCTGGCTCCTGTTGGGTTCTGCAGCTGAAAGCTCTTTTTTTTTAAATTTCCAAGATTTTTTTTCTTTTGTAAAAGCTGGACTAGAGTAAGGTTTTGATACTTCGATACTTTTTTTTTTTTTTTTTCAGAGCAGCTAGTCCAAATTGCAGTTCTGAAAAGGCACTCTGCTGTTGTCTGTATGTAGCAGCTGTTCGCCGTGGGGCTAACTGCTCTGTCTGTCTGTGTGTGCTCATTTCCACCTGGGATTACTAGAAAAATTCCGGCAGTCACTGACACAGTAGCTGTTGCTGGGGCAAGAGCTTCACCACCAGATTATTTCCCTATGGGGCGGGGGGAAACCCCAAACTAATAACTGGATTACAGCTGTCAGGGGAAACTCTGTTTTTTTTCTGAAATACATTTAGATAACCTTAAGGGCCTGACTTATACCCAACAAAACCAGCAAATTCAGAGTTAAGGCTTCTCACTCCATCTCTGGCGCTCACTGGAGCGCTTGGCTCTCCAGCACAGGTGGTATTGGAGATCACACACTAGCCTCAGATCCCTGCTCAACTAGGCAAAATGTTTGCTGCATGAGTGGTGCCGACTGTTCCAGGTACGTCTGTTTACAGTACACCTGCTGTCCTGTGCAAGGTGCCGTGTGTGTCTTAACAGTCCACTGGTTTCACTGGTATGTTAATGGCCAGCGGCAGCACCGCAGGTGTGGTGGAAAGCCAGCAGCCAAAGGGGGAAGGGCGCAGATGCAGTGAGAAGCTTTAATTTTGAGTTTCCTGGCTTCTGCGAGCACAAGTCAGACCCTTAATGTTGTTTTAATGTATTGTTTGTGTTTAATTTTTAGTAAAAATTTGAACGCCATCCAGGCTACAGAGGTTGCAGTGGATAAGAAGTTTAAAAGCTTTGGTTCAAGATTACAGGAGGCTGCAAGAAAAATTAAAGACATGGAAATGAGGATGGAATGACAGGCTGCTATTTTGCCTCAGAATACTGAAGATTGTAAAGCATTGAGAAATCGAATTCATGACCCTGGAAGTCAAGCTCAGATTAAGAAATGTCAGGTTGGTAGGGGTTCCTGAAAGTCTCAAGTTAGGATAAACTGAGATTGTTTTCCCATAACAAAGACTCTAGGATGTGGGGGTGGATGGTATAATTTTTGTTATCTGTGTTACATGAAATGCTATACCATATACTTGAATAAGCCAGCTAAGTAAAATTATATTTTTTTTAATTAGTTTCACTTTCTGGTGTTGAATGTCACTTTTGACTGGTTTACAGTTATTTCTCTCTGGCACCAAGTTGCATGATTTACTGTTAATGCAGGCGTGGAAAATACTGCTCTTAAATACACATTGCTTTATCCTGTCACTCCAAGGGTCTGCTGCAAAACCAAACACGTGGTGCAGTATGATATGTTCTGCCCATTTCTTATCTAGAAATATCTAAGTGGTGGAAGAATTAGTTTTTTGTTCAAAGGGTTCTGATTCATAGTGAAACTGTCTTTCCAAATATAAACTTTAAATACTGACTCCCACTGTGATTAAATTACTGTAAGTTTACTTAAGTGTTGAGTTATTGTCTGCAATTCACTGATATGGTATTTAGGCAGAAAGATTGTGCAACAGGAAGTCTATGCTGAAGTTCAGGAAGGATTTTGGCAAGCAAAGGTTTGTAGGGTTTTCGTGGTCAAGGTCACTGGATGTATTTGAGTTCTGGGGACTCAACAAAGTCAGAGAGTCTCTTGGGGAGGGTTTATCCTTCTAGTTGTTTTTCTGACTTTTGTTTCTACACTTCAGGGCTTGATCTGGCATGCCACTTAGCACCAACATTAGACACAAGTAACTTGGTTGAAATTGATCTATATACTGATGTGAGGGGAAAACCAGACTGCACCTTTATGTATTTTAAAGGATTGTGTACTGTGATATTATATTTCATGATTTTCTGAGATAGCTCTAGTCAGAAAGTGTTTCTTAGGAGTGACAGCTTTTAATCTCGTCATCTGTTATCTGTTTGGACTATATGCGCTCTTCTGTTGACAGAGGTGCTTTAGTTGTAGCTCTGAGGGAATAATCTGTGCCATATTTTTCCTCATTCATCTTCAACAACTTCAGTATCAAAATTCAGTTTCTTTTTTTAATTTTATTTTAGCTAGTATTCAGACTTGTCATTGCAATCCTGGCTTTGCTGGACTGACAAGACAATGACAGTAACGTTTCAGTTATAAAATAAGCACAGTTGTATGAATAGGACTTGCAATGTCATTTTCACATTTGTTTCAAGACATAATTGCGTTTTATTAAAGCTGTCACATACGCTATTTTGAAAGAAACTTGAACAGGTCTATAACATTCTTAAATTTCAGGGTGTTTCTAAGTAAATTTAATGTGGGTTTTATATTTATGTTCCAATTAAAGGATAGTACTTGTTCTCTGGCTAACTCTGTAGCTTTACGTTGTGTATTCCTGTAGTGTTTGTGTCCTGTACCACATTATTAGTGTGTGGTTTATTTATAGAAGTGACTGTATGAAGGTTATGTGGCCATTCATATTGTTACTGTTCAAACAGGTAACGATAGTAAGTTAGCAAGATGCATGATTTTTAAAAATTATATGTAAAAAGCTTCCATTGAATTTTGTTGCCTGGATAGAACTGGAAGAGTCTGTGAATCACAAGTATTTCTAAGTACGTCTATTGCAGTAGAGGTTAGGAATTGATGGGTTTACAACAGAGAATAGTTTTCATGGGTGTTGTACCTGCAGAAAACTTTGCTGGTGAATACTTCTCACATCTGAATGCCTCTCTGCTATGGTGAGAGAACTGCAGTCAGTCCATTGGCATCATCAGTTGCTGGGAGGCACTGGGACTAGAACAGCAAATGTAGTGACGCCTGTCCTCTTGAAGTATAAAAACTGTTTGAATAGGTAAAGAACTTAAACGCCACGTTGTAGTAGGGCTGGCCTATCATCCTGGCTTGGTTAGGGGTGAATGTGAAACTTACGGGTGCAGCCTGGACAGTTCGGACTAGGAGGGTACCGGTCTCCTTAGCTGTACTCCTTCAGCCTCACACCTGGCCTTGGTCCCAGTGGGGAAGTAATATGCTGCTTCTGTTGACTTGTGAAAATCTCTTCTCCCAGCAGCTGTTTTTCTTCACCAGCTATCTTGTGTAGCTAGGATTCTACTGATTTTCCATCCACTTAAAATGCAAGTGACAGTTTTTCAGGTCTTGCTTTTTGACACAGGGTAGGACTCCAAGATGTGGGGATTTCTTGTAGAAGGTAGCTGGGGAGCTTTGGTCTTTTTTTGCGTTAATGTAGGACTAACTTGTATTACCAAGTAATAATACTTCTAAATTCACACTGCAACAAAAATATCTTGTTGAAATTTGCATGCAAGAAATATCTAAACCTGCTTTACTTTGCAGTGTTTAAAACCACTTAATTGAAAAGAGGAAAAAATAATGTACTTTATTCTTGTTTGTTTTTTTTCCTTATCTCTCCAGGAAGTCCTTTTTGTTTCTTTCCACTCACGCTTAACTACTTTTGTGTAAATGTATTGGTTTAATATTACTCCCTTGAGTAGTTTTGTATATTTATAGCATCTATACTGTTAAAAAGATGCTCTCTTAATATCTTGTTATAAGGATTACTGTTCATTTTAAGACTCCATAAGGAGGATATAAATGAAGCTTGCACTTCCAACTGATTTTCCTTCCCCCAGATCTTTAACGTGTATTCCTTTGTTGCTCTACCATGTTCCAAGCATGATGTTGATGTAGGGAGGGATATTTTGTTCATATTTTTTAAGAGTTTTCAGATAAGTGGATTAAGTATGATGTGTGTGTTTGACTAAGGTATACAGAATTGTTTTGTAGAAATTTTAAGTCTAAGCAGACCTACATAGATCAGTAATGAGCTTGTACACTTGGACGTTATGTCTTCAGTAAATTAAAAATTTTGCTGTTGTAGGCTTTTTTTCAGTTAAATTTTAGTCTCAGCAGATCATCATCTTATATGTAAATTGTATACTCAAATCCTTGCTGGGTTGCTTATGATATTCCATAAGTTATGCTCTTACAAGCCTGGACAAGATATTTCTCACTCTGTCTAGAGCTCACAAAGGTGTGGAATCCAATCAAAACATAAACCTTGGATAAGATCACACAGGCACTTCTTAATAATGCAGTAAGGATGTATCTTTAAAAAACAAACATGCTATTCCCTTAGTGGTTTTATCCAGCTTCAGCCTCCTGAATCTCCATGGCATTTTTTTCTTACTTTTTCTGTTTGATTGCTGACTGTAAACTTATTCCTGTTCTACTAGCTTCAGTCCTTGAAATCTTTTTCTACCATCAGAATAAACAAACTAGCTATAACCTTTTATTGTTATTATTATATTTGCATGGCTTGAATAACAAGTCTTCTCTGTTTCTTCGTAGGCATTCGACCTCCGATCATGAATGGGCCCATGCACCCGCGCCCTTTGGTAGCGTTGCTGGATGGCAGGGACTGTACAGTAGAAATGCCTATTCTGAAGGATGTAGCCACGGTGGCGTTTTGTGATGCTCAGTCTACGCAAGAAATTCATGAAAAGGTAATATTTAGAGGTATAATTGAGATGTTTTAGAAAACACAAATATTTTGATTATTCAGAACAGATACAGTATTGCGTTAGCTCTGACAATGTGTTTAGCTGTTGCATTTTAGTTAAGAGTTGATAACCTTCGTGAGTGAGCTCCTGGTCGTTTCCAATAAGTTACGAAACATGATGATGACACAAAGATGGAAATGTCTGTGTTGAAGTATGCTTTTGTGTAGTGTATCTGTGGCTGGGTGTTGTCCATATGCTTACCCACTGTATTAGATTAATGGAGAGAGTTACCTCTGGGAAAATTTTACATGATATTTTGAAATGCTTCTTGGAAACATTGTTGCTCAGCCTTCAGCTGGAAAGCCAAATCTCAGTGTTGGATTGGCTGGTGTGAGGAACTTTCAAACTTCTTTGTTTAGCCAAGGAGTTGTGCAAATTGGGTTGAGAGTCCTCGTGCACCGAGAATAGACGCTGCGAAGGGTTTCAAAACAATTGCTAACCCAAAATTTATTTAGAAAATTAATTTTAAAATGTATTATAAATGTATTCCTGTTGGCTAGCAGGGTAAGCCTCAAATGCTAAATCCTTGACCTGATAAAGGATGAAAACGAGCCTTAACCACTTTTATGGATGTAAAAAATTTAAATATTACATCAGAGGAGGGTAATCAGGGGGCCCTTCCCAGGAATTTATTTTCTTCTTCTCCAGCAGAGACCCATGATAGACAAGTACAAATCCAAGCATTAACTTAAAGGCTTGTTAGGTGAGCGTCTGTATCCACTTTTTTGCGTACGGTGCTGTACACTGAGTGTGATTCAGGTGCTAAGGAGGTGTCAGCTGAACCGAGTTGCACCAGCATTCTTGTTTCTCTACAGGTACCTTGTTGGACTTGTCCTACGATAACTATAGCAGCCCTTGGGTTTGTGACGGGTTTTCAGAAGCTTTTCACTATTTTGAATTCATAACTGGTTTAATTGTTTATTTACTTTTCATGTTCTTGTAATATATAGCATTGTTAAACGTTTTAAAGTCTCTGTATGTGATGAAAGATTTAATCTTTTCTTTGATGACTTTTTTACAAAGCCAGCAACTTGAAAATAATACTAATACTAACTTGCCTTCTGTTATCAAGTGGATAAATCTCTTTTTTGGTAGTCACATGTGGACATCTTTCTGGTGTGAACCCATCAACCAACTGTTTAGCTTGTTACTTCTTACAAAAAAATATTTTTATTCTGAAAAAGAACATTTTTGTTGTTAAAACTTTAAAGATTTGTAAGTTGTAGGGTTTTTTTCTTGTGGTTTTTTTCTTTTCTAAACAATAAAGAAAAGACCAAAGCGTTGCATGCTGTTATCAGCACAGCAAACTAGAACTGCCGATTCTCATGGTTCAAGCAAACACAAGAGATGACCCCTCTTCTAAAACCCCTGGCATAGTTCCTTGGTGGAGATCTCTGATGCTAGTTCCTTGGTGGCTATCTTGGACAACTTTCAGATTTCCTCTTTTACCCTTCTGCCTCCCTTCCCACACAGGAACAGGCTTTTGTCAGAACAGGAGTCAAGAATGATATTTAAAGTTCTTTTCTGCCACATCAGTACTGGCTTAACGTCGCTACCTTGTTTTGTTCAGCTGCATTTTAGATACAATAAAATTCTAATGTGAATAGGAAAACGGAAAAAAAAATAAAATTGTTCCTACTAGGAAATAATCAGCATTCCAGATACCCTTTTTTGAGTTCATTAGTTGTTTCTCACAATAGAGTTAAAACTGTTCTTTTCAGGTGATTCTTGAATTATAAACTGGATTCAGAGTTGGCAGTATTACAGTTCAGATCTCGTGTCTTTTTTAATGTGTTTATACTGTCATATAGAAGACCATCTTTACAGTGGGTGGTCAATGGGATTGTGTAAACTCGAAACCTGAACTTCTGTTTTGTTGTGACATTCTATTTTGAATCAGTAAGGTTTTACCAAATCCTAATGCTAATTTCAACCTTCTCTTTAATATCTGTTGAAAAAGACCAGTGTTTTTGCTGTGCATGCAACTGAAACTATTCAATATTGTGGCAGTGGATGGGAATGTAAAAATAACTAACCTGAGAACAAATGCGAAGAAGTGAAAGCTTTCCTGTCTTCATTGGTAATTGGAGATCCATAGAAACAGATACTGTTTTCTGGTTTGGGATTTTTTTTTTTTTTTAATTAAAAGAAGCTTAATTTGTAAGAGTCAAAGACAATAGTAATCTAAGGATAATGCTTTATTTATTTAATTTAGAGAAATATTCAACCCAAGCTTTTTTCTCTCAATTCCCTTTTATCTTTTTATATATTGAGAGCTAAAATATGATATAATGCCTTATTTCTGTGTATTTCTTTTTAATCATGTTGAAAAGTTGCTTTAGTCTTGCTGTTTTCGTATCTTACACCATTATCAGAAGTTTAATACATGAAATAGCTGGATTCCATTTACAAGGACTAAATAATATGTGAAGAATAAGTACTACAATGCTGTTTCATCTTTTTTTGTAGATAATAGTAGTCTACTCTTCAGATGAACACTATAATGTTGGCAACTGCATCACCTGTATAGTTTTATGCTTTGCTTGCTGAACTCAACATCATTTACTTCTAATGCATGAAGACTAGGGGTTCCTGTGTGACAAAACCTTAGAAACACTCAATATTTTCTGTTATCAGTGTTGTGTAGTAAATGAACTTCCCAGATCTTGAGACTGGAAGTGTGTGTGTCTCAAATTGTAGCTTTGGAAAACCATTTAAATAACTGATGAGTAACACAGGTAAACGGTTGTTGATCTTTGCAAGAGCATTGTGTTTAGTGGATTATACTAAATCTTCCATCCTTTGCTTTTTATTATACCAAAATAATTCCTTCTTAGTGAGCTCAGTAATATATCTGGAAAATGGATTTTCACTTGCTACCGGTACACCTCAAATTGTAGCTTTGGAAAACCATTTAAATAACTGATGAGTAACACAGGTAAACGGTTGTTGATCTTTGCAAGAGCATTGTGTTTAGTGGATTATACTAAATCTTCCATCCTTTGCTTTTTATTATACCAAAATAATTCCTTCTTAGTGAGCTCAGTAATATATCTGGAAAATGGATTTTCACTTGCTACCGGTACACTGCCATAATACAAATCTTCACTAGCCCAAAGGATGATGCTGTCTTAAAATGTTTGGGTTTGCAATGTACTGCTGTTCTGGCAGGGAATACATTTCTGCAACAAAAATCACAAATGTTAATTCGTTATCATATTGTTGGATTACTTTAACATAGACTAAGAGATCAGTTTTATGACGTGTTGAGCACTGTATACTTGCATGTACAAAGTGGTCACTGTTCATCTGCAGTGAAAAATGGCTGTTTTTCACACAACTTTAGAGTTATAATAGAGAAATATCTGTCCTTCAGTACTGCTTGTGTAGTACCTTATTTGTGAATGGTGCTTTACTAAATATAAAATTGCTTTCAGGAAAAGTTTTAAAATTAGAAGTTGCATATTTAAAGCGGTATCTAAACTGTTCATGTATTTATGAATGCACATTCCTGGCCATACTAAATGATATTGTCCTGTTAATTAAAATACAGATTTTGGTAATGGATGTCAATTTGCAAAAGACTGTTCCCCATTGTGAAAGAAGAGATGACTGCAAATCAGGAAAAAGGTTTAGTGTTGAGAAGAGCTTGCTGAAAGCAGAAGGTGAAATTTAGTTTTTCTTTCATATATTTCTTGTCTTTATAAGAAGAGATGCTGAATTTGGTGGGGTAGCAGATACAGACACATTTAGATAGTCTGAAGTTGCAGGAGGCAGGCCAGAGACTGCAAAATTTAGAATGGGGTTTGAAAGAGGTGATTGATGTCATTTGATACACATAGATGGATCGCTATAGATGAATGCAATGGGAAAAAAAAAGACAGGAACTGAGAATCAGATGAGGAAAGGAGTGAAAGACTACAAAGGGATGGGTAGGAGAGTAAGAGAGGGTATAAACTCAGCTTGCACAGCTGTGGAGCCTTGATCACGGGGGTCTGAGGAGTTGGTGTTTGAGGAGTAAACATTTTGGAAACTGGGGAAGGGATTTCTGCTGGTTATGAGAAGGTTTCAGGGACAGGATGATGGTTTAAAAGACAGTCTTTTAGGATGATTAGGCAACAAAGGAAATAGAAGGGAAAAGGGGAATTTGTAGTCGTTTGTGAGACAGCAAAGCACAAGCTAGATATTTTTTCATAGCGAAGCAAGGAGGCTGAGAAATTTTAACACATACAGAAAGGAGGAAAATAAATTAGGATTTGAATGCGATCTGGGTACAGGGTCAAAAGCAGGATGTTAGCAAATACCATTATACCTTACTGTATGTGGTAATTAAAGTTTTCTCCAAAGTGGGTAGTACCTGAGTTGCAGTTCGTAGCAATTCTCTTATGCCAAAGAGTTAATTTGTCATTCTCTTTTTGTGGCTGAGGAAGCTAAAGTATGGAAAATAAGTAAGTTGTTTAAAGTCACAAGTAAATAACAGTGTGTATTAGAACTCTGCTTCATCTGGAGTCAAAGCATTCTTTCCCCCTGCTTTGGAAGGCAATTTGGACGGCAAAGATAATGTTACCTTCCTTTTGAAAATTGGGCTGCCAGTGCTTAAGTGAACACATGTTTGCTGAGAGTGACCCAAGGTTTTAAAATACCTTTGTAGTTAGAGGACACTTATTACACTTCTTCTGAAATCAGGTGTCTAAGGTTTTACTGATCTCGCCCCCCCAGAAACGTGGTGTGTTTTCAACGTACATGTTTATGCATTGACTCCTAAGTTCTGTTGTATTGCAAATGTTGTATATGGCTGTGTGAAGCTGAGCATTACATTTGTCAAACCATATCATGGGATAGCTGGGAACTAGGTTCACTACATCCTATCAGGAAACTTCTGTCATTTAGGGAAAAAATTACTTTAAGATTTTGGTGGTTAAATTTGTTTCTTAATAGAGGTT